AGGGAAAGGGAAAGGGAAAGGGAAAGGGAAAGGGAAAGGGAAAGGGTCATGTCCAGGCCATGGGGTCATGGAGCGAGGGAGGCCATGGCAGGGCAGAAACGCAGCAGGTTTGGTGCTGGAAGAGGGGCAGAGCTTCAGTGTGGGCAAGGGGAGAGGTCAGGACACCCAGCAGGGTCCGTGGAGTGGGACAGACTGGTGTGTCAGGACACCCAGAAAGGTCCCTGGACTGGGACAGACTGGTTTGTCAGGGCATCCAGAAGGGTCCCTGGAATGGGAGCACCTGGTTTGGTCTCTGAACTGGGATCCTGGCAACTGGTGGGGTCGGGGCACCACGGGAGAGTTCCTGGAATGGAACAGGATTGAGGGTCTGGGCACACAGGGGGGAGTCAGCAGAGCACCCACTAAAACCCCCAGACTGGGCCCAGTAGGTTGCTGTGCTGGGACACCCAGGATTGTCTCCAGACTGGGATCCAGTGGATTACTGTGTTGGGACACCCAGGATTGTCCCCAGACTGGGATCCAGCGGGCTGGGGGCCGCTCAGGCCCCCAGTTGATCTCTCTGTTGATCTCTCACCCCCTCCCAGGTCAAACAGTTGAAAACCAAAATAAAACTGTTCTCCAGCCAGATTTTACGGCTCCATCGTGATCCCTGATGGGGAAAGTGAGTCCCAGAGGCTGGACCCGGCTGGGAGGGGGGTGGGGACCGAGGGTGCTGAGCCCCGCGGGGACACGGAGCTGCAGGAGCAGGAGCAGCCCCACCCCACCTCCCTCCCAGCCCACCAGCGACCCAAATTGGGCGAGTTGGCACATCTGGGCGAGGAAGGGGCTGTTGGCCGGTCCTGCCACCATTGACAGGCAGCAGGACACCGTCCCCATCGCAGGACATCATCCCTCACCTCTGCCCGCGGGCGGGACCCCAAACCGATCCGGAATTCCCAAGGGGATGAAACGAGGCTGGGGCTGAAGGGGGAGGCTCTGCCCCGGCCCCGGCCCGGCCGAGCAGCTGTCGCCGTCCCAAATCTCGGGCGAGCAGGCACGTCGGAAATCCCGGGTGTCGGAGGAGGGCTCTGCTCCGCATTCCTCGGCCGGGAGCGGGGACGGGGCCAAGCATCTCCCGCCGCCTGCAGCTGCTCCCAAATATGTTACGACTTGTCACGGCGGCAGGAAAGGATGTCGGGTGAGCCTGGAAAGCCAGAGGGGACACGGGACGGGGGGGGTGCCCTGCCCAGTGGGGGTGGAGGATGGGTCCGACTGGAAGTGGCATTTTGGTAGGACCCCTTTCCTGCGCTGAAATCCCGGTGGGATGAGCTCTGGCCAGCCCCAGCCTTTCTCCCCGTCGGTGCCCACACCCTGAGGGTGTAGATGCTGCTTTGGGTGCCCGATTTGCTTCACCAGCCCCTAAAGCCGGCTCTTTCTGCCCTTTCCATGGAAGGAGCTCAGCCCGATCCATCCCCACCTCCAAGGCAGGGACTGCTCCTGCGGCGGGCAGGGATGTGCTCCCGGGCATGGAACAGGGACAACACACTGAGCGCTGGCAGGGACATCCACCGGGCTACAACACCTTCACGTGCATCCCCACACCCGGCAAATCCGCACCATCAGCCGTGCCGGGAGAGCAGAACACCGGCGGCGGCCCCGGGGTGTCTCTGGGTGACTCCGCTCCCGGCCCCGGCCTGGCTCGGGAAGCTGCCCCGGAGGAGCCAGGACAAACCCTCCCGGCCGGGATTTTCTCAATGGACGGGTATTTTTGGCAGGGCCCGGCGGCCGTGCCGGGGTGAGCCGTCCCCGGGAGGCCTCCGGAGCCGGGGGGGAAGGTCACCCCGTGACGGATCGCAGCACGTTCTGCCCGGGGCTCGCACAGCGTCGCCTTTGTGCTGCCTCGCAGCCGCCGCCATCGATCACGGGCTAACCTGACAGCCGGCAGCGCTGCCCTAATCCCCCGCCCGCTCCCGCGCACCGGGCACCGCCGGCAGCCGCCCCGGGCACCCCAAACACCGGGAAAGACCACCTTGTCCCCCTGGCAGGTGCTTTTGGGGTGCCCAGGGCGGTGTGGGACGCGATGGGAGCCCCCCCAGCAGCCCAGAGGTCCCTGGGTGGTGGCTGCTTGCCCGGCGATTATCCCTGATTTGATACCAACTGGGATGATCCTGCCAGACCCACAGACCCCGCTGTGCCCCTGCTGTGCCCAGGCTCGGGGTCATCCTTGGCACAGAGGGGCTGATGGAGCTGCTGGGCTGCAGCTGGGCAGGCACAAGGTTATCCCAGCACAGGGTTATCCCGGCACAGGGTTATCCCAGCACGGCCTTATCCCAGCACAGAGTTATCCCAGCACAGCGTTATCCCGGCACAGGGTTATCCCGGCACAGGGTTATCCCAGCACAGGTTTATCCCAGCACAGGTTTATCCCGGCACAGGGTTATCCTGGCACGGAGTTATCCCAGCACAGAGTTATCCCAGCACAGAGTTATCCCAGCACAGCATTATCCCAGCACAGAGTTATCCCGGCACAGGGTTATCCCGGCACAGGGTTATCCCAACACGGGGTTATCCCAGCTCCCCCTGCATGGGATGAGACCCCCAGGAGGAGCTGGAGCAAGTGCAGGTGCTGGAGCTGCCACCCTGGTGGGGTCCCTGTTCCCCCAGTGCCCATCACACGCTGGCTCTGGGTGTCCTGGTGCCCTTGAGCTGTCCCCTGTTTCCTCTGCCTTCTCAGCTGTGGGGACACGGTGGCCTTGGTGGCCTTTGGGGGCTGGCTCGACCCACAGCTCCTGGCCAGGGACCGGTGACATCCAGCTCCTGCCTCGTGGTGCTGCCCCTGTTTATGAAGTGGCAAATACTTGGCCTCTGCCTTGTCTGGGTCCCACATGTGCCCTGTTATGTCACCCCCGTGTCCCTCACGTCCAAACACGTCCCTGCAGTTCAGAAAAACCCATTTCTGAGGTGGAGTTGGGGTGGTCCCACAGGCTCCCCTCGCCCAGGGGCTCACCAGGGTCGTGCCTACCAGTAAGTGTCATCAATAAAGGTCCCCATGAGCGAGTTAAGTTGCCTCACATGACAATGACAAGCTGATGTGAAGCTCTTGGGCCCAGGTTATCCCCTCTTAACACCTTCACACCTTCCATGGGCTCCTCTGCTCACTCAGGGATGAATCCTGACTCTTCCCAACTGTTTCAGTGCTTTTCCCTCAGGCAGGGCCCAAGCTGATGCTCTGATTTCTTTCCTTCTGGAGGATTTTGGGGTTTGATTGACCCTGGGGAGCCCAGGGGCTGTGCCAAGGGTGAATCTCGAGGCTGTGGGTCCTGCTTTCCTTGGTGCAGATTTTCACAGATGTTAAAGCCATGGGGACAGCAAATCCCCAGGGCTGGAACCCCAGGAGAGCTGGAATCAGGGTGAGGGAGTGTCATAAACCTCCTGGACCCAAAGAAGTCACTTCAGAGGGAGATGAATATCATGGTGGGTTCCAAAAAGTCCAGAAATCAACCCAAAGTGAGCAAGGGTGCTGGTGGCAGGCACAGGGAATGTGTTGTGGCACAGCCTCTCCAGGGAGGGGGGATTTGGGGAAGGAAAATCCCGGCAGGGTTGGCCCTGCACTTTGCTGACATTCTTTCCACTGACCGATCCCTCAGCTGGAATCTGGCCTGGAGCAGGAATAGGAGGAGATGGGAGACGGTTTCTGACGTTCCTGATGGAAAAAAAAATCCCCTCTGAATTAAAGATAAAGCTGGAGATGTGGTCAAGTGGTTGGAATTGGCAGGGAAGGGCTGGGGATGGGTGGAAATCCCACCCACGCTGCTGCCAGTTGTGCCTCAGTTTCCCCATCGGGAATGTGGGAGCAATGTGTCTTTTCTGGGAAAGGGCTGTGTCAGGATGGCATTGTGGCTTTGGTTATCCACATGGACAGAGGCTGGGGCAGGAGACCAGGTGGGATGGAGGAGGTCCAGCCCAGCCAGGCTCTGCTGGAGACTCGTGGGAGAAGGTGTCCTTTGGGTTTGGTTCATGGGAGAAGCCACAAGTGTGGATTTGGTGACAAAAATGTGATGAAGGGACTCACCCAGGCACCTTCAGGAAGCCCACGGTGGAGGAAAGGTTGGGCCTGGCACCTCCTGCCTACTCCTGCCCGCCCCGTTCCTGCAGGACAGGCAGCAGGGGCAGGAGTGTCCCTGGGGATCGGGCTGGACCCCGGGGTGCTCCCTGCACTGGGATATCCCACCCGGGGCTGGATTCCTGCTCTTCCCCACGGCTGCAGCAGCAGTGGGATCAGGGCTCCGTGCACCAGCAGGATGGGGACATGGGGAACGTGGGGCAGACCAGGATCGGGAGGTGGGAATGCCGAGCAGTGGGAATCCTGTGCCGGTGTTGGGTGTGACCGCAGGGAAGGCACAGAGCCGGGGTGCCCCGGGGTTGAGGGGAGCACGAAGGGATGAGGGGGATGAAGGGGTGAGGGTGCCCCGGCCCCCGTGGGCTCCCCCAGCCCGGCCGTAACTGAAGGGACCAGATGAGGCAGGAATTCCAGGGGGGAGCTGGCATTCCTTCCCGCCGCCGGCCCCGCTGGCACCCGGGGCTCACACAAAGCCCTCGTTCAGGGGGTGGCCGAGCTGCCCCCCCGCCGTGCCAGCCCCCCCGCAGCCCCCCCAGCGCCGGGCACTGTAATCCCCGTGGGGAGAGAGCACACGGAATCAGACGGACAAGTTTTGATGTGAGGCAGCAGCTTAGGCCGGGCTCAGGTTTCCCTTAGGTTTTCTATATTTATCTCCGTGATTTAATGCCAGCGCCGGGGTTTAAATGGCACCGAGCAGTTGGCGTGGGGAGAGGGAACAGCCGTCCCCGAGCCGCACACACGTCCCGGAGCCCCCCGAGCGCCCATGGAGCTCTTCGAGACCAACCCTTACTTTTTCCCGGAGCAGAGGTTTTACGACGGGGAGAGTTTCCTGGGCTCCCGCTATGAGCCGGCGGCGTTCCCCGAGCGCGCCGAGGCCTCGCTGTGCCCCGAGGGCAGGGCGGCTCTGGAGGAGAAGGACTCGGTGGGCGAGCACTGCCCCGGGCAGTGCCTGCCCTGGGCCTGCAAGGTGTGCAAGAGGAAGACGGTGTCCATGGACCGGCGCCGAGCGGCCACGCTGCGGGAGAAGCGGCGGCTCAAGAAGGTGAACGAGGCGTTCGAGGCGCTGAAGCGCAGCACCCTCCTGAACCCCAACCAGAGGCTGCCCAAGGTGGAGATCCTGCGCAGCGCCATCCAGTACATCGAGCGGCTGCAGAGCCTGCTCAGCTCCCTCAACCAGCAGGAGCGGGAGCAGCGAGAGCTCCGCTTCCGCCCCCAGCCCGCGGTGAGCGGCACCGGCACCGGGAGGGGGTCACCCAGGGGGGTGGGGATGGAGGGGGTGATGCCCCAAGGGGTGGAGATGGAGGGGGTGATGCCCTGGGGGGGATGCTCCAGGGGTGGGGGTGGTGCTCTCTAGGGGTACTGCTCAATGGGGGTGATGATCTATGGGGGTAATGATCTATGGGGTGATGGTCTATGGGGGTACTGCCCAATGGGGGTAATGATCTATGGGGTGATGGTCTATGGGGTGATGGTCTATAGGGGTACTGCTCAATGAAGGTGATGCCTCATGGGGTTTTGCTGGATGGGGTGATGTCCTGTGGGGTGATGGTCTATAGGGGTATACTGCCCAGTGGGGGTGATGATCTATAGGGTGATGGTCTATAGGGGTACTGCCCAATGGGGGTGATGATCTGTGGGGTGATGCCCTGTGGGGTGATGGTCTATGCCAGTGGGGGTGATGCCTCAGGGGGTTTTGCTGGATGGGGTGATGCCCCACGGGGTGGTGATGGATGGGGCTGATGATCTGTGGGGGTACTGCCCAATGGGGGTGATGCCTCATGGGGTTTTGCTGGACGGGAGTGATGCCTCACGGATGGGGGTGATGCTCTGTGCAGGTACTGCCCCGTGGGGGTGATGGTCTATGGGGTGATGCCCCATGGGGTGATGCTCTAGGGGAGTGGTGCTCTATGGGGTGATGCTCTAGGGGAGTGGTGCTCTATGGGG